TTATTATATTTTTAATTTATTAAAAAATATAAAATATAAAATTTTGAAAAAAAATATAATGTAAAAATATAATAATTAATAATATTAAATTATTTATTATTAACAATATAAAGTATGACAGTATCCTTAAATAAAAAAAAACTTTTGCACTTGAACTTTCAGTTTAATGACCTCAGACTACCCGTAAAATGCATCTCTCACCCCTGAGCAACGGTTCGATTCTAACCCCTTACAAATTTGTTAAAAAAAAAAAAAAACTTTTATTCCATAATAATTATTTATGACCTTTTAACACATTTAACATTTATTCCTATTATGTTACTTTTTTTATTTAATCGAGTATCTTTAATAGAAAATTGTGTTGTTAAATGCTAAAATTATTCCATTTGAATAAAACTCATTATACTCGGACAAATGACAAAAGCAAGAAATTTCTTCTGATGAATCCCACTCTACAAAGATATCTTCTTTTCTTCCAAAATCAAATACTTTAAAAGTTCCAATTTGCCCATCTCCACCATCTTTCTGAAAATGACACCTGAAGATTCCTAAAATCTCAAGTTTAAACATTTTGAAAACTTCATGCGTATATATCATCAACATTTGTTTTTCAAAAGAAGAGGGTATCTTTAAATTAGGTTGCTTGTTCCATGTGCTAAAATCATCTTGTTTCTCCGTCACTTTTCCATCTTCAATAGCTACTTTGTATTGATCAACAAACTCTATTAAAGAAGTTTTTTAACATGCCTATCAAAAAAAGAATTGATACTTACAAATTTATGTATGATTGACATGCCACTAAAAATTGTATTTTCCACGTAAATAGACATCCAATATCTCACGATCTTCATATAGGGTTTGAGGTTGTTCATTCTCCACAAGTTCAAATTTGTTGATCATTGCTTGCCATCTTTCTTCAAAATTTTCCCTTGTCCAAGACTAGTAGATACATTTATTGAAAAATCTCATAAAATCTTCATGATTCCTTATTGCATGACCAAGCTTTTTAGGAACCTTTCTTATGTGCCATAGACAGTACCAGTGTCATACTTCGGGGAAAACCAATACAATGGCTGCTTTCATTGCTTTATCTTGGTCTGTTATTATAACATTTGAACCCTTTCCTCCCATTGCTTTAACCCACGTCTTCATTAGCCAAACAAGGAATGTTGACGATTCATTTGCCACTAATGCAAATCCAAGCAATGTTGATTAGTAATGATAGCTCACTCCAATAAAAGAGAAGCAAATGTCGTTTTGTAAATCTTTGAGACGTGTTGTATCAAAAGAAACATCGCCGAAGTTTTGGTAATCATCCCCACCTTTTGAATCAACCCAAAAGACATTTCTAAGTTGATGTTCTTCATCTAAATCCACTGCATAAAAGAAGTTACGGTTTTCTTGCGTCTGGAAAAAATCCTCAACATTGCATATGCGTCCCCTACTTCAAGTGTCAAACGACATTCTTTTAATTCAAGTTCCATTCCCATAAAAGGTTCCATGCCATCACTAGACTCACCAGTAATATCACCATCTAAATCCAAGTTCGAATCAATCCATGAAGTACTACTTAATTAACACGTGAAGTAGGAAACTTCAAGATTAATTTAAAATACAAATACAAGCGAATTTTAGCAGTTACAAACCCGAGTCTAAAAGTTTACCAATCACACATCGAAGAACCGTACAAGACTTTAGATTAAACATTTAGGATAAAGAAATGTTTTACAGTATTACCAAATAAAAGCTTTAGATAAGTATAAAAATCTATTTATGAGTGTGGCAACAAAGAAAGGGTGTTCCGTGTTTATAATTGAAGAAAACAAAGTCAGAGGTGGAGACAAAATCTAACAAAGCCATAAATTCTGTTTTCCTTTTTTTTCACAAAGTTAAATAAAAATTACTAGTGCCCATAAGTACAAGAGTGATAGATGAACAAAGGCATGCTTATGATTAAATTGATAATTGAAATCAAGCTCAAAATCACAGGTAATTCTTCATTGCCATGAAACCCAACCGGGGAAAATTTTAGGCTGATAGTTTCTGTGTCTTTTAAGTTTCCTTCACTTTTTACCTTACGTTTTAAGGCATACTGATTTATGTATTCTTTTAAATATTTAACAATGACTAGCCTACTATTTCGAGTTTTAGTAATCCACTAAATGGAGAGAAAGACAAGGCTCAAGCAAAAGAGGAGTTTTTGACCCCGAGTGCAAAGGGTGACTGCAGCTACCTGTGCCCACCTGGACATCAATGGAGCTGAAACCATGTCTTTAGGCAACACTTTTATTCAACAAAATAGAAATAACAAGAAGCAATAACACAGATACATTCAGACAGGAACTGAGGCAAGACTATCCCCAACTGATAATGACAGGTATGTTGTTGCAGACTTTAGTGGAGCAGCAAAATTATTTTTATGATGGCGTACCCTTCAACTGACAAACATTACAAACATCAATTGTTGCATGGATTTCGCCCGTTCACAGAGTTCATTACTGAACATATTTCACAAATTTCAAACAAATAAATATTCTCCCTTAACCTAAAACTAACAGCAGCACCACAGTGCCAGAATGAAACAAAAACATTGGGCTGTAAGGGGTTTCATGAAGAGATCCAAAGGAAAAATAAGATTAAAACAGATTTGCATCTATTACCATTTGGCATCAACCACATCCAAAAAAGTGCTCCAAGGATGGAGAGCTGAACACATTTGCAGCACTCCGTTCAAGTCTAACAGGAGAAATGTGAAGCTGAAATTTAATGAATCTCTGCAGAAGGCAGAAGGAAAATAAAACCTCAATTATTGACATTGAAATGAACAAGAATACAGGTTTAAAGCAGAAAATGGTAAATTTAATTGCAAAGCAACATCTAGATAATTATGGAGAGAATGGAATCATACAGCCAATTGGGTAACAATTTCAGGATTTGTGTCAATATGCCAGTCTGGTTCCAGTTGCCGAACAAAAGATGTCCGACCATTCTCTGTGCTACAAAAGAGAACCTGCAGATTCATTTTGCAGAAAATAAGACAAATAACACGTATACAAGTTAAGAAACAACTAAATAACAGTAAATCCAGACTAAAAAATAATAATGAATAAACCATTCTCCACAAATGTTTTGCTGGCTTGAGTGCTCAAGATAGAACCACCAACACAAAAATCATTTCAGCATTAAATATCTAAACAGATTTTCCCCCTTTGCAGCAAAAATATGGCAAAAGTAGACAAGGAAAAGTATATTGGCTTCAGACCTCAATTCAGGTTCCAACACCTACATATCATAACTTCAGTGCATCTCAACAGAATGATGCTCATACTAAGCATTTTTTTTTCCAGCTTTGAAAAAAAAAATTCAAATAATTGTATCAGCATGTCCATGTTATGTATGCCTTACAGCTTCACATCTCAAAGTACCATCATAGAAATAGTTTAAATCAAAAAAATAAAAAGGCGGCAAAAATGGCGAGGCAAAGTGGATTGGCTTCAGGCCTCAATTCAGGTTCCAATACATACTTATCATAGCTTCAGTTCATCGCAACATGATGATGAATATACCAAGTATTTTTCCCTGCTTTGACAAAAAATTTCCAATAATTATATCAGCATGTCCATCTTATATGTTGTTGTACAGCTTCACATCTCAGATTACCATTGTAGGAATAGTTTCGCTTTTGGCTTATAAAAACTCTCGAATGAAATCCTTAAATACTGAAAGTATTCTGCAAGAACTTGGGCTTCTTCTCCTCTGTATCAAGATAAGTTTACCTGAATCAATCAATTTCTCAAAAACCCTTCTAAAACTTCTGCTAGTGCCAAGACTGGTGGTGCTATCATTTCTACTTCAATCACTCAAATTCCTTTTGGAATATATGATGGCTCCCTTTTAAAGGCCACTCATTTATTCCCACACAAGAAAAAGGTATAACCATTTTTTTAATAGTATTAGTAACAATATTTTCAAATAAAACATCTCATCCCCTTGTTATTACCTTGTCCTTGACCAAACCACCAGATGTGAAAATGCCTGCATTTTCCAATGCTAGAAGAACGTTTTTCTGCACCAAGAAGCACAACATGGTAAATCATTATTGCACGTCATTCTTCCACTTGCAAGCCATAATATGAATATAGGTGTCAAGAGAAGAGGGTTTATATTGGAAGCTAAATTAGAACTAAATGTTCCAGATATCAGGGACTTGATCTACCAAGTAATGAGAGATATCACTAAAATTCAGACATTTATTCCCTCAAAATAATGCTGGCATAAGTAACAAGTTTTCCTAAAGGTTTAAGGCATCAGTAAACTGTAAAGATAAGTTAATAACATGTCATGTGGAAAAGATGCAGAATAGAAGAGAAAAAGCAAAGAAACTCTCAGCCTTTCAGGCACTGAGAACATATTTGATTATTGGAGTAATGGCACATGTAACATATGATAAAACAAGTTTAAGGTAAATTTATAGCATGGACAAATATCAACAAAAATGTCTAGAAGAAGGTTCATACTCACTTCACTTTCATCATCGAGAACTCTTTCCATGAGATAAAGATCACAAAATTTGGTAATTTCCAACAGCACTTCCAACACAGAAGACCTGACAGTTGCTTGTTTCTATCCAGAATTTAAAAAAAAAAAAAATCAAATTAATTCTTTCCAGATTTCTATTACAGAAACAAAACTTGAAAAAAAGAATCATCACCTGCAGCTGCTCTGGACTGCTTTCCTCAAGGATCACCCCAAGCAAGCGGCATGTTATCTACATGAGACAAGTTATAAAAGCATGAATCATTGATGCATTGACCAAAACCATCTAATGATCCAGGGCTTTGCACAAAAGAATAAGCCACTAAACACTGATAAATCAACAATAGCCAAAATCTGAGACATTTTTCATAAAATTAATCATCAAAGCATTGGAATGGGTGCATTTCCTAGATCCAGATTGCCATAATTTAGGCAACTGAATTACATTAACTTAATCAACTCAGTTTTGGAAAGGAGAATTTATCTTCATTGTTACTGGTCCTTGGCATTACATTAGTATTTAATCAGCCTCACTGCACATTCACCACAAGGTTACAAATAAATACTTCTTGGATGAAAAACTGAGCCAGATAATTCTGGATATTTACATACTTCATAACTGCAGTAACTTATAGTTTTAAAATCAAAATAGAGGAACTTTGCAGTACCCTAAAATTGAGATCAACACCTTACTCAGGAAATCTATTCAATGAACCAACAAAATATGGTAATTGGACCATTCAAACAGGTCTAAGCAACAAATAGACAATCAAACAGGACCATTGAATCAGTGACTTGAATTAGAAAGAAAAGCTAATAAGTAGCTAGGCTTTACTTATCTATTAAAATATAAACTAAGTAGTCCAAAAAAATAGCCAACTTCTAAAAACACCACAAACTTGTTAAGTAATAGTGGTTATTGGACCCTCCAGAAATGTGTTCCAGATCTATTACCAAACCTAAAGGAGAGCAAGAACAAGTCCTAAGTTCAAAGAATCCACAACCCATATAAATTGACCCCAAATATCTTGGTTAATGCATTACAGAATGTATGTAAGTTACCTTTCTTCCTTCACTCAATTTCTGCCTAACTATTTGCCCCAAGGTTGGCTGCAAAAGAAGGGGTAAAAAGTTGTAAGTCTGAAAGAAAACAAACAAAACAAAATAAAGAAATAGGATGCTTAAGGAAGAAAAAAATGCCTACCTTAACAGGTTGGAAGAACTCATCAACAACATTTTGTGCTCTTAAATCTTCAGAAGAATAACAAACACCAGAAGGCATCAACGCTGTATTTGATTGGGTACTGACTGCAGAACTACTGGTTGTTGGAGCCTGGCGTTTTGGACGCCTCCTTTGAGGTTCTGCAGGTGATCTCATTAGCCTATAGGTAAAGACTATTGCAACAGCAAGCCCTGCAATAGCCCCTACAGATCGTGAATCCTGCTACCAACACTACTTTGGTCACAATCCCAGATATCAGTGATCAAAAGCATTGCTTTTTTTATTTAAATTTTCAAACCAAAAAATAAAACACAATGTTCTGAAATATTAAGTCATGCTAACAGCAAAGAAAGTAATGCCTACTGGAACAAAAAAGAAAAGTAAGAGTTCATCAGCTTTCAGCCTTGTAAGACTCTATAATCAACATGACTGCGCTAAGCAAAATTTTTCCCTACCTTAAATTTTCTTGTTGATAGAAACATGAGTTTAATAGTCAGGTTGGTGGCACATGAAAAGTTACTTCCTATAAATTATGAATAACATAACTAATGAACACATAAATTATTTTCAACTAAACAAAAACAAAAGCAGAAATTTTGAAAAACAACTTCATTTTGAATAGAGAAATTACTTACCAGAAAACAAAAAGAGTCCTTTTATATATATCCCTAAGAATTTTGTTCTCATTTATATATTTCTGTGACAGTTACCTATAATTTTTAGAAAATCATTGTTGCTAAGACCAAATAGCAACATTGCTACCATCATCTTACAGGATAGAGAAAATTTAATCTCCAATTCAAAACATTTTTTGAAGCAACTAAATCGCAAATAGAAAATTTCGTCCTGAACTCTCTCCAATTCGACTTTTTATGTACATAAAAAAATTCAATTTTCACTTCACTGTCGAACCACTACAATTACCAATTTCATACCAAATACAATAACCAAATTAACTCATAATTAATCCAACAGAAAACCTAAATCAAACAAAAGAAAAGAAACAAACACAAAGAAAAGATGAAAACTAGCAAAATTGGAGTTTCGAATCAGATCTGCCATCAAATCCAAGAAACAGAGGAAAATGACAGAAAGGGAATAAACCAAAAGAAAGGTGAACGAACCAGTTTATTGAGAGAGATCGAGAATAGATTGGACATCTTGAGGGCGAGATACGTCCCGAGGCGCTTGATGAGGTGAATCAGCTCCTCCCTGGAAGAAGAAGACGAGTCTGCCATCTCCCAAATCCGTTAATTGAGTGAAGCTGAAAGCAACTCCCTTTTTGCGTGCCGAGGAATGCTTCTCAGATTCTTACCTTCTCCATCGGATTATCACCCGCACGTATGCTTACCGGAGGAAACTTGTGGTTTGCGTCAACGACGTTTGTCTCAGAGAAGGTAGTTCTGATCGACGATTCGATGCTGTTTGCCCTTTTTCTCTTGATCGGGACGGTAGTTTTTGACTTACGACCATATATATAATTTTTTTTTAATGGTCTAGTTGTACCTTTTAATTTTTGCGACTATTGAAACCAAATTTTATGCTGCTAGGGCGTTCGGAGCTATTTTGGGCCCGCACCTTGAAACTTTTTTTTTTTTTCTTCAGTTGAAGGTAGATAATTTTAGTTAGGGTTTGAAAATTGATGAGTAATTTTTTTCTATTAATGTATTTAAAGAATTAAATTTTAATTAATAAAGCATATTTTTATACATTTAAATAAATTACTTTATAAAATTTTTTAATTGTTGGTTTTATGATGTGAAACATAAACCAGGCCTATAAAATCTTATTACTGTTTTACCCTCTCTTTGGTGTCTTTTTATCATTGTCTTAATTTCTAGCTAAAGTGTTTATATATATATAGAAAAAATTGTTTTACAGTCCACCCTGCAGCGGACTATAAGATCAAGGCCATTAAAGGAAGTGAGTCTTGATATTAGGCTCACCTTCCCCTCATATTTTATGACCCTAATTTTACAGTCTGTCACAAGGTAGATTGTAAGATAACAACCTCATATATATATATATATATCTAAAAGAAAAGATTCAGTTACATATAAATTTTATATATTATTTTATATAAAATTATAATTATTTATCTTTATATTTTTAATAGTTGATATTTATTCACATTTATTAAAAATAATTATTATTTTATTAAAAAATATGATAAATCTTAACTATTAAAAGTGAAAAGATAAATAGTTAAAAAAGTATGATAAATCTTAATCATTGAAAATGAAGAAATAAATAGTCAACATTTTATATAACTATGACTTGCAAAATTTGTTTGTAAGTGTATCCCTTATATAAATGTATCAAAAGTGTTTTATAATTCAAATTATTTTAAACAGTAAAACATTAATCCTTAGTTGGGGATGGGCTCCTATATTTTGAAGGCCCTTTCCCATAGTAAAAACCTACTTTTAGCTCTTCATTTTATCAAGTTTGAAAGTTTTAGCTCCTTACCTAATACTATGACATTTTGAACCCCTCACCTTATTAAATTTATAGGTTTTAACCCATCACCTATTGAAATCGAAGAAAATAACTCTCACTTTATACTAACTGTTAACTCTGTTAGGTAAAAGTAGATTTTTGTCAATTAATAATCAATTAATATAATTAACAAAATATTATAAAATTGGTTCTGTTAACTCTGTTAGCTAAAAAAATATTTTTGTAAGTTAACAATCAACTAACAGTCAACTAATAAAACTAACAAAATGTTACAAAGTAAAAGTTATTTTCTTCAATTTTAATAAGTGGGGAGCTAAAAATATTATAATATAAGATGAGAAGTTAAAATCTACAAATTTAATAAGGTGATGGGTTAAAAATATTATACTATAAAGTGAGGAACTAAAATCTTTAAATTTGGTAAGGTGAGGGGCTAAAAATAAGCTTTTACCCTTCCCCATCTACAGAAAACTAAACAACAAACTATATATTTATAAAGTGAATAAATTTTCTTTTTTATTTGAAAGTGATCAATGAATACTTAATTTTTTTTTTATCCTAAATCATACATGGGAGACAACTCCCCCTTATTTGTTAACTTAACTCACCCATGTAATAAATAATTTGAATTCAAAATTTTTTATTTTTATTAGAAAGAAATTATCATTTAGACGGTGAATACTTAATTGTTAAAAATGAAAATAATATATATTTCTAATTTAATACATAATTTAATAAAAAAGAAATTATCAATATTAAGATGCACTTCATCCATTTCACTCTTTTTTTTTTTTTATAAACCACCCATTTAGTAAACTTAATTTTTAATTTAGACATTAAATTTAGTTAACCATTTTTTTAAAAAAATGTTATTTCATATATTTATTCTTATTTTATTTTTATTTTAAAAAGATAATTACAATATATATTAAATAAGAAGGCTTATTTATATATAAATATAAAATGTTATTAATTAATTATTATATTTTTATTTTATTAAAAAATAACCTTACTAAAATGTGCACTCCTCTAGCTGCCGAGTGCAAGCTCCACTCGGCAGCTAGCATTTCCAAACATTTTACATTTCCTCTTTCGTTTTTTTTTTTTTTTTTTTTACAACTCAAAATGAGAAGCTTCCTCTTTACTCCTAGAAGTCCCATCCTAACTGCGAGACGGCAGCTGAAGGCGGTGGTGATGGTGGCAGCAGAGATGCCATAGCTGCAGCATCAAATTGGGTGCACAGGCAGCATCTTCTTCCCACAGGATTTCAAGAAGTTATAATAAAAGATTATAAAAGAAACCAAGAGTCCGTGCATTTTACTTCCTATAGAAGTTCTCAAGCCCTCTACATATTTTCAATACCAGAAAACAGCTTATCCTTTGTAAATTGTAATGCATAAAAAATGTTCAGATGTCATGTGACAAACTGAATGGAGGATCGTAGCAAAATTGTGCTGAACTGAACCTTGGATGAATACGTTAGTGAAGGCAGCAATTTGATGCTCCTTACATGGCGGTCATGAAACTCCAAGTAATTTGTCAGCCTAGGTTGGTAGGTTGTTAATAGAGGGTGGAGCATTTGACCTGGAGTTCATTTTGTTCCACTCATTTTCCACGTGGAAGAAAACCCACTGGAAGTGGCGGCACATCTCCAAAGCAGTGATGGTGAACACGGTGAGGTAATTGTGGTGGAGATGAGCTGACAACTTATATGTCCATGTGCATCGTAGGATCAAGCTGCTTCCTATCACCCAAAAAATAAACCTACAGTTCCATACACATACAATACAAGGTTGCCTGGCCAGGGTAGAAACAAAAAGGTTCCATGTAATAAGAGAAATTTAGTGCAGCTTAAAATCTAATGCCATAACAAAACATGATCTATATTGGTGGATAAATCTTACCCATGTTCTTCCATAGAAAAGGTGCGAGCATAGATTAGGTTTGTTGAACTTGAAAATACGAGTGAATCCATTGCCAATAGAAAGACAAGTGTAAGCCACATTATCAAGAAAAGGTAAATATGTGCAAGCACTCGGTCTACTCTATTGTGATTCATGGCTCAAGCTCAAGTGAACATCCAATGCACAGAAAACAAGCATATAAGTAAAATTTACTGTAAAATCTTGGGGATAATTTAGCTCATAGTCTACTCTGTTATGATTAATGGCTTAAGCTGAAGTGGCCAAGCAATCTCGCTATGAGCCATATTAACATGTGGTAAGACGACACCTGAGATGGATCTAATATCAGTATAGTGTGAGCATTTGGTTGAGGCAATTTTGTAACTTATGCCAAGAATTAGAAATTTAAAATCTACATTTTATGATAATTGTGAGACGTTAAAGAGAAGGTGACCTACCTCAATTCCTAGTCCCGTGCAACATCCCAGTATAATGAATACAACGGGTTCAAAAAGCTTGAGGAAAGCCAGAGAGGATGATAAAATTCGTCCACCTATCAGGTATGACATGGCATTTAAGGGCTGAAAGGAAAATCGCTGTTAAGTATTTTAAAGCTAAAAATCATGAGCAGATTATGTTATTTGACCACTGCCAATAGAATCATTTGAAATTGTACAAAGAGAAAAGAAAAAACAGAAATTTACAATATTCCATACATGATTCCATTTTAATGGGAAAACAATAAAAAAAGAGAAAGAAAAGAATACAGACTTCACTCAGCACTTGCTCAAAGGAACATGCACGTCTTACAATCTTATTCAACCATCAATCACATCAACTGTTATTTATTACCTGTCATGTAACTGCATACCACAAATTAATGTGGTTTAACAGAAAACCATCTGCAGTGTTCTATGTTTCCAACGCCTCAACCTATCCTCTGAAAAAATGATAATGGGGATACCATGGAAAGAAATTGCTTAAGAAACATGAGAGGTACTTTCCAAGAGATCTTACCATTGAAAAGTGTTGATTTCTCATCAGTATCCTTGTATTGTCAGGGACATTGAAAAAAAGGGAAAAGGTAAGGCAAAACAAGAACTACAGGGATTGCCACGGAGTGACTTCCACAAACAGAATCAGCTTCAAACCATGCTATAGTGGCAACCTCTATGCATTTAAGAAATCTCTCCTAAGATGGAAACAATGCAGTCTGATCTTTGGTACACTATATATGAATACTAGTCAAGCAAGTGTGATATAATATCATATTCAAAAGGAGCATAACTTGCTAGCCGTTCATCAGATGTTAAGACCACTAACAGCTGGCTACTTGCAAAGCATTCCATTTATCTATATGCCTTATTTAAAAGAGAAAAGTCCGTTTACAATCTCAACCCCCCTTAAAGACTAGGTTGAGAAAGACTGTCAGCCATACATCTATGATTACTGCTCAAAATCCCATTTCCAGCAACAGAGAGGGATTGCAAGAGTTAGTCTGTCGTTGTCTCTTAGACTCTGAGGCCCTACAGGCCAAACGAGCTTGTCCAACACGTTATAAAACTATCAAACTAAAGGACCACTCTAATAAGTGAAAATCCAGAAAGAGGTGCTAGCATTTATTTTTAATTTGTCAATGTAAATGATAGGGAAAGTATGCAATTTTGAAACGTCCCTTGTCCATAATTCTATTGATATAAATCAAGCCTGTCTCACAAACATAAAACATACCTGCCAATGGACCATTCTACAAACCAAACGCTCCAGATCTGAAAGCACCTTCATGAAGTTCAACAATAACAGAATATAAGGATAAGAAAAAGTCAAAAAGCAATAAATGATAATTAAAAGTAAAGCATATACTACCTAATATTCCCAAATTCATGTTGAATATTGATATGCTGTATAAGAACAAGTCTCCTCTACCTGTCAATTAGAAATTCATTAACTCAAAGGCAGAATAATCAATACTTTCACCTAATGGACTAACTAAATTAAATACTGAATTAATTGAATATATAAATGGATTTTTCATGGTGAAATTATCAACATAAGGTCAACAACATCTGAAACATCTAATTTGGAAACTTATGCTACATGGCATTATTAAATAATAAAACCAAGAAATCATTATCAGGAAAAAGTTAAAGTTATCATGAAGCCCAAATGTGTAATTTTGGTTTGGCTCTGAATTCTATCAGCTATTTGAGCTGTCAATTTTCATTCTATGACTTCAATGTAGCAAATTCTAGAATATTCACCAATTCATATAAATCAAATTAAACATTAGTCACTCTAGTTTTCTTTAACAGTCAGGAAGAACCTATGTAGCAATATTGATAGTTATCAAGATACAGAAATTCAATGTTCACAACAACACAGGTTAAGTTTGACCAAAGAACGACTGAACCACACCAACTAATTTGGGTTGCTCCTATCACATTTTTATAGTAGTTACTTCAACTACGCCATATTTGACATGCAAGAGACAAAGTTACACAGCAATAAGACACTTTTTCTCTAACAATATTGAAAAATGGAGAAAAATAATGAAAGAAACACATTTAGATATAAGCATGTAAATGCTAAAGAAAAACTGCATGAAGATTTTTTATTTCAAACATCATTGCTCGACAAAAATTTTCCAAGGCAAGAGAATGATAAAAAAAAGTAATAGGGCAAATATCTTTGACATTGGAAGTTAAAATATCAGCCAATAAGAAGTCAGAAAAAGTTATTGCCTGCATTCACCAAAGCAACATATCATTAAAATAAAATGTTTTAAGCCCAAAAGTAAATTAATTTCAAAATATGAAACCAAAATATGTGGCTCTCTTTGTAGCATTGTTGCAAACACAACCTTTTTCATTGACCAATGAAGGAAAGTGATGGAAAGATTGATTATCTCAACCTCAGGAAAAATGAATTTTAATTTACTTATCTTTGCTAACAACTTTGATACATGCCAGACAAAAGGTTACAATCCAAAATTCAGAAAAAAGATTGCTAAACATGTGAACTCCTTGGTAAGAGATAAGAATCTTTAGATTTGTTATTTTATTAATTGGTTAAGTTTCTTATAACTTGGTGAGTAGACAAACAAATAACAATACTAACAAATACTTCATCAGATGAAAATGTTGTTTTATCAAGTTCTTCTATTCAGTGTAATGATTTAAAGGGACTGAAATCAATCACAAACACAAATGACTAATGATAGGGAAAATCACCAAACAACCCTTTTGGAATAATATGCTAACCTGTAGAGAGAGAACCATGCGCCAAAGAGTCCTTAACAAGTAGTAGTGGGATGGAAAATAAAAATATATCAAAAGGAAATACCAAAATCATCGCAATGGTAAAATATAAGAGTACTGGCAGTAGAAAGAATTCAGTACTTAATATGGTACCATCATTCTAGACAAGTGATGAAACAAATGGATTAATTGATTAGTCAGGTATTCAAAAGTGGTTCTTTGTGGGCTCTTCATAAGCAAATAAGGTTAGAAAATTTTCCGAATAAGTATTTTGATCCATTTCAACTGTCAAGAATTCAGTAATTCTCATAAATCACAAAACCAAAATTGGTGGTTAAAATTAAATTAATTCAATTTCAATTTCACACCTCCAAAGTGCAAAGTAGAAACTGTCAATGGCCATGTACCCAAATCTAATCCTAACAGGAAGGATTCTACATGTAGAAAAGAATGCATGACTTCCATGCTTCTTAGAGAGCATATATCTGAAGTTTTTATTTTGACCTATCAAAGTTACATCTATGAACAAAATAAAATTCAGATGACTATGGAAGAAAAAAGAATACTGCATTTAAAGCAAACAGCTCATTACAGCAATCATTTCATACTAATAGATGATACCTTGACCTAAATGAAGAACTCCAACATTCAAAGTCACTTTCTTTACCATTTACCTCTCTCCCCCTCACAAAAATAATAATAATAATAATTAAAGATTTTAAGATGTAAAGTTGTTAAAACAAATGAGTATATCCTCATTATTACTCTTGGACTCTCAAGAAACTACTCTAGTGGAAAATAATTGGGAATTTCTGACTATTTATCAATTTATTTTGTTGGACATAGTAGAGAGAAACTTAAGGGAGAGAACTAAAGCATGAAGAAGAAATGCAATGGGATTTGAATGATTGCATAAGTTGAAACTGGAATCACAAATCATCCATTCGGTGTGAGAGAGCATATATGTTGGACATTGTAAAAATTGACTAGAAAGAATTAGTAAAGCATGCAGGAAAGAATTTTAACCAGATTTCAAAGGTAAAAGGAAGTTGAAATCTAGAATTAACTAATCAATCATTCAGCGAGAATGAGCATATAAAATAATGAACAAGAGAGGATGCATCTATTACACTGGCTATGAAGCAGCCAATGGTACTTTTCCATGAGAATAAAGATAAAGATACGCTATCATGCTGGTTGGGACAACGATAGTCATCCATTTCACACACTGCAAACAATAAATCTTCAGAAGGGTTACTTAAGAAAAAGGAAATTACTACTACCTACCACCACTAGGAATACTGGCACAATAAATACCAGTTTTAATATTAAGTCTCCAAAGACAATGAAGAAACCAAATAAAAAAATCCAAATTGGAATATTTGATGCTAACTTTTTCTTGTGATTCCACTCCATGAATATTAGGAAATCGAATGAGAAAAAAATAAAAAGTTAAAAACCTGTTAAAAGCTTTCCCATTTATTAATAAATGGAATAAGTAGAGAAAATCGTTAAATTTACATCAAACTCTGCAACAATAAGCCTTATCTTAATCTAAACTAGTGGTCATGCAATTCTAGTCAATTGTGATGCAAAAAAGTCTGATGGAATTCCAATGACAGAACAAAATGGAACACACCAACTTCAAATTAGGCAACATCTTGTCATCATTAGAAACATTAAAAGTTAAAAATATAAAAAAGCCAGACAAATAAAAGTTAAAAATATAATATCTCCATAAAGAATGCCAAGTCCGAGCACAAAACTAATGTCCAAGCAAAGTCAAAAAAAGGAAGAGATTACAAACCAAGGTGAGTCTTGGTATTATATTGCAAAAAGGCTTAACTGCCATCATAATGTATATCACTTGACTAATAGAAAAGGTACCAAAATATGTGGGAAGAAAGTACAGGAATGGCATGTATCAACAATAACAGCACAAGGCAACAACAGATATCAAAACTAAATAGAGAAATGCTAAGAAAATCAATGGTATGATTATCATTCAATTAACTGAGGAGTTCAAGTACCTTCTATATTTCTCTGTGAGTAAGATGATTCAGATCAAGATAAAAAATCTTTGCATAATTGACATTCAACTGAACCCAAAAATTGACTCCCCAAAGCCAAACCATCATAGTCTGAAATATCAAAACCAGAAAAAAAAAAAAAAAAAAGGCTTCAAGGAGAAAAAGAAAATAACAAACCATTTAGAATTTCAAATAATAGATATGTGAATGTGTGTGTGTCAAAAAATCTCAACTAACCACAAGAAAGAGAGGATTGTATTACAAAAAATGCCTCATATAGAAAGAGATCCCCCAATCCAAACTCATTCTCATCACAGCAACCCATCCAATCTGCAATTGTCAAAGATGTGTCAATGAGAACTCGTAAGCAACTGGTTGAATCTTGTAGTCCTTTAGATATTGACACTACTACAACCAAATCTCAGATTCTATTGTATAATACTAATGAATGACTAACCTTACTACAGCTGAACCTCCAGATGAAAAATAACAACAGCTGCAAGTTTATAAAGATTAGGATCTTCATTAAGCTTTGATGATTCATCACAATCATGGAATATATTCCTCACAGAGGGGAAGTAGTAGTCACAAAGGGGCAAAAAATACTTAGATTCAGAGCAACTGAGATCTAGGTGCTTTCAATATTGTTTGTAATAAAAATATTCATGCAGCATGAATTCAAATGCACACAAAAGAATTTTGAAAAGCTAAAATGGAAGAAAAATAGAAAATCTCATACATTAGCATTAATAGCAAACCTTGAACCTCCATAACAGTGTTGAAGATGGCATTATTGCAACAGTACCCATTGGTATAGTAGCAATCTTCAAGTCATTTAGCTCCATTGAGTGCAAGTGATCATCCTCAACACCATTTTCCAACTCATCATCTGACAAATATTCTAAAAGTGTTAATGGTGAAAGTTCCCCTAACAAAGCATTAAATAAACTTTATCCGCGAGTATCTTAAAAGCTTACAAATTAGTCATACCAGGATCAGAGACAACAACTCTGCTTCCAGATTCCCTTAAATGTGAACTAGTGATAGGAGCTGGCACTGGACTTACAAACATAGATGTTTACTGAAAACAGCAACTATGTTGATGCCACTCTGACTTTATTATAGACCTACAGCAACAGATTATCATAATTTCAAGAAATTAACCATTATAGAACCTATTACTATTTTAAACTGAAAAAAAAAAAAGAAAAAAGGAAAAAAAAAGAGAGGTTATGAAGACAAACATTTCTTAGCTAGTAGGAAAAAGTACATCTCTTAAATAGTTTATTGAATGCGCTAGTTTAGGTCCTAATATCTTCCAAGAATTTGAAGCAAGTATGCAAAACATTTATAAGATTTTATGGTTGCATTTTTCCAATTGGAATTCTTTTTTGCTAACATGAATGAAACAACATTAATTGCACCATAGATTCAAAGAGAGACACAGCCATAAACTTATATCTTCTCCTGAAAATTTGAACAAACTCAAGAAAATACAATATGTATAATTAACGTCTATACATGCATGCATATATACATGCCTTTTAATCCAAAAATCAAGTAATAAAAAAAAAAAAAAAAAAAAAAAAAAAAAAAAAAAAGGTTTTAAGCATTACCTGTCAAATTCTCTTGAATGATGTACCGAAGTAGAGAGCTTAACACTGCCCTAAAGAAAAACCCATCAAAATTCTATCAAAAACCCATAAATGCCCAATTCCAGAAAAACTGGAAAACCAAGTCCCTGTTCGTTTCTATGGAAGATACAAGCCAGGAAAACTTTCTAGCATTAACCCAGATATGCTCATCAATTTTGAACCCCAGATCAGATCAGAAAATACTTACCAAGAAAGCAATAGCAGTGACATTGAATACTGAGCTTGGTTGAAAAATGCCAACTTTTGAGATCTCAAGGAAACTGAAATGGAGGTTGGAGTGAAGAACAAGGAAAGAGAAAGAAGACGCCAAAAACATTAATCGTCGTTTGTCGAGGACCTATTTGCAAAGTTTAAAGTTAAACAATTCCTGGGGTGCTGTTAGGGATTTTTGATATAGAATTTTGATATCGAATTTAAAAGGAAGTTTATACCAAAATGCACCAGCATAGCTACCATGAATAGAAACCCTAGAGAAACAACAAGAAACAGTTGGGTTCATGTTTATAGTCAATACACCTTCACTACTAGAAAAATAGGTTAATCAAAATTGGTCTAGAAATATATTAGTTCAAACTGTAAATGGTATGCTAAATTAACGATCGAAATTGACTGGTCAATCTTTGTAATTCACTTTTCTAGATTGTCTTTAGTTTGAATACAATGGGCACCAACAGGCGCCAATATTGGCTGTAACATGCCAAATTATTCTAGATAAAAAATGGTCCAAATATAAGTATCAAAAGTCAAAACAGTAATATACTCAAAAAAATAATAATAAAGCTTATTAATAAAGTCTGAGTTTTTTTCTCTTTTTAAATTGATATCAGTTTGAAAAATGGCAAGGCAACCAATTAATTGGGCACATTGATCATATTTTTAAGATTTAAAAATTCAGTAATAATTTTTTTTCATTAAAAATAAAATATCTTAAATTCTAATCATATAATATACAGGTGAAATAAGATAAGGGAGGCAAGAGTTACCTTTTTATGCAACCAACGTATAAAAAGAAAAAAAAGGAAAAAAAAGACTTAAAACGGTTTTGATATATGTAAAGTATACAAATTGAAGTTGGTCTAGTTAATTGCAAGAAAAATCTGGATATGACCATATATATAGATTGTTATGACTCTGGAAAAATCTGTGCAAAGATTATCTACACAGATGCAACGTTGGACCCACCTGTTAGATTATTTTATACTGCAAATGGTCTGTATAAATCCGCATAAAAAATATGGCAAATACTTCTTATTCCTCCGGCCACCCTTGAGCTTGCCACTTTCTTCCTTCATTTTTTTTCTCTAGTTTTCCTCTCGTTTTTGTGCCTTTTCTCCGCTAGTCTTTTCCACCTTCAACCGTCGCCCATCCGTTATGGTAAGTGATGTTTCTGGCAACTCAAACACTAGATTAGATCCCCTTTTTTTTAAATATAACTTTCTAACAATATTTTTCCTTAGATCCGACATTTTTACCATTGGAATCCGCCTTCTATTGCTTTCATCACCATCAAACAAAGTCAGATATACAACAAAAGTAAATTTTTGATTTATTCCTTTCTTTTTTTTAAGTTTTTGTTGAATATTTAGAAAATAAATTAACATATAATATTTAATTAATTTTTTTATATAAAACCCTCATGATTCATTCCATAGTCTAAAGGAAATTGCTTAATATATAGCATACTTTAAGAAATAAAGCTCATGAAAAGAAACTAATTATTTATTTGAGTTTTACCATTAAAACTCAAAGCATTGTAAAGTTTGACGTTTTATTTTATCTTATTCTCTAAAACCATCATAACTATATGTCAAAGAAACTTCTTGTTAATATTTATTTATCAATATGTAGTAAAAAATTATTTATTAATATTTATTTATTAAAATACTAAATATGATTGTTAGTTGTTTAGTGTATGGAAATATTTTATTGTTTAATTGTAATATGGTATTGAATCTTATATCATAAGAAAAATGTTGAAAATTTTATATTATATTTATATTTTAAATAATTAATTTATAAAAAAATAATGTTATAAAATATATTTTGCATTAATTATAATTGTTATTTGTTTGATCTTGCTTCTTCTTTTTTTTTTTTTATTTCATTTTTGCAATGGCTTTTTGTGGCTCTTTGAGATGCATTATTACTATGGATGCACTACTACCCCACAAACAATCATCGCCATTTACATTTGACCCACAACATTGTGGCGAGGAGGAGCAACAAGTTTATGTAGTTCTAGAGACTATAGTTATTGATAATGATAGTCACAATTATGCTATTGTTGATGACACTGTACCAGTTGCCTCATAAGAAAAAGGGACAAAGAAAGGCAAAGCACTATGGAAGATATCGGCAGATGGTAGCCAGATCTCTCTTATGCTAGATAACATTGGAAATATCCCGTAGCACATCCAACGAGATATTTTTGCATAATTAAAGAATAATATGCTTGATGCATACACTGCATGGACTTTCAGTCCCCAAAACCATTGGGACTTATACTAGAATTTATTTGGTGTATGACTTGTCCTTCTTAACTACAATTTAAGAACAGTCTTTTGTTCAAAATTTAACATCGTAGCCTTTTGAAGTTAATCTTTTGTTTCTTCTTAGCAAAAATTCCAATAGGAACATGAATTAATGGTAAGGTGCAAAAATTGTGGGAACATACATATGCTCTCAATTTCAAACATACTTTAAGTGAGATAAAAAATGCATGTGTAGCTACTTTCGGGTGAAATCAAAAGACATGAATCTCAAGCTTTTTCAGAAGCTCAGGCATAAATGGACCAAGGCAATGGAATAAATGTGTAAAAAATTTCTAAATATTATCTCTTAGTGGTGATATTTATGTTTTTGTAATTTTTTTAATAAAAATTGTTTGCACCATCTTTTTAGGATGAGAAACACATTAAGCAATCAAATTCATAGAAGCCAAATTAGGCTAAAGGCCCAAGGATCACACATACTAATGGTTGAATGAATGTTATTGGCTACAAAAAGTAAATGGTATAACATTTAACAATCTTATTTAATGTTTTTTTAACAAGATATTTATATTAATATATATTTTTTCATTGATGAGGGATCCACTTATATATAAGTCTTACACACCACATTTACACATAATTAAGATTTATCATATTATTTAGGTGAAAAAGATAATTATCTTTCATAAATATGATAACAAGTAAATAATCTTAACCATTGAAAGTGAAGAGATGAATAGTTAAGATTTTATATAAATGTGATGTGTAAAACTTATGTGTAAGTGGATCCAAACTCTTTTTTATTATATTATTTGATGTTAAATTTTCCATTACAACAACAAGCAAATCCTCATGAGGGGCAACCACCTATATTTCTTGAATTGAATACAAGTAGGAGGGAACACCCTAAAGGAAAAGATCAAGTGCCCACATATTGCAACAATGGACAAAAGCCTACTTTTAGCCCCTCACCTTACCAAGTTTAAAGGTTTTAGCCCCTCACCTTATATTATGACACTTTTAGCCCCTCATCTTACTAAATTTGTAGGTTTTAGCCTATCACCTTATACTATAACACTTTTAGCCTCTCACTTATTAAAATTGAAGAAAATAACCCTTACTTTGTAACATTTTGTTAATTCTGTTAGCTGATTATTAACTTTATTAGCTGACTGTTAACTGACAAAAACTTTTTTTTAGCTAATAAAGTTAACAGAACTAACTTTATAATATTTCGTTCATTCTGTTAACTTATTATTAGTTGATTGTTAGTTAACAAAAATTTATTTTTAGCTAACAGAGTTAATAATCAGTATAAAGTGAAGGTTATTTTCTTCGATTTAAATAGGTGAGGGGCTAAAACCTACAAATCTAGTAAGGTGAGGGGTTAAAAGTGTTATAGTATAAGGTGAGGGGCTAAAATCTTCAAATTTGGTAAGGTGAGGGGCTAAAAGTAAGTTTTTGCCACAACAATGAGGCCAAAGAGAATAATGTAAGTATTTAATATTATATATGAAATATAAATTGTGAATTTGGTTTTTGATGGGTCTAATTTGGTTGAATAATGCTGTTTGTTTATGGTCTCAATAGTTTGTTCCATTCTAAAGCATTCCTCTCCTCTTATAGCTTTCTTTTTGCATTTAAAGACAAAACTAATTTCTCATGACACGATTCTATTTCTTCCAGATCTTGGTTTATGCTGTTCACTCGCTTAGCATCCCAAGAGGCAAATGGAGTTTAATATGCATCTGACATTAGTTAATGGTGATGCAATAATGAATCATACCTAAACCATTAACACATTGGTTTAAGGTAACTAGTTTTGAAGTTAAGTTGGGTGGTATCCAATAAATTTTAATGGTGGATTCAAGGTAATTAGATCAAATTGAGTCCCAATTCGAGGCATCATGCCAAGGTAAGGGTTCTAGCCACTCTATCGAAACCATCGACAGTGTGGAAAAGTTATTCAGATTGTCAACAGTGTAATAGCTTGTTTCGTTCCAAAACATTCCTTTCCTCCTATACGTTTCTTTTTTGAATTTAAAGACAAGATTCATTTCTTTTAATATAATTCTATTTCTTCTAGGTCTTAATTTATGCCATTCACTCTTTTAACGTCCCAAAAGCCAAATGGAGTTGATTACGCATCTCACATTGCTTAATGGGGATGCAATTCTGTATCATACCTAAACCTTTAACACAGTTAAAGGTTACTAACTTTAATGGTAAATTGTATGATATTCAGCAGATTTTGGTGGTGGGATTTAGGGTAATTAGGACTCATTAAGCTCTAGTTTGTGTCCGGCCATGGTAAGGGTTTTGGTCACTCTATTCAAACCATTGACAATTTGTAAAAGTTATTTAGATAGTCAATGATCTAAATAGCTTGTTTCATTCCAAAACATTCTTCTCCTTCCATACTTTTCCTTTTTGCGTTTAAAAACAAAAGTCATTTCTTGTAATATGATTCTATTTCTTTTAATATGATGCTATTTCTTTTAGGTCTTGGCTTATGGCATTCACTCTTTTAAAGTCCTAGGAGACAAATGGAGTTAATTACGCATCTCATATTGGTTAATGGTGGGCTCAATGTGCATATTGCCCCTTAAAATTATCGCGTGGAAGCAAATCACCAGCCAAAAAAGTGTTGATGCAATTTTCCACCCAAAATTTCCATTTCAAGAAATCAACCCCAATTTAACAATTGCCATTAAACTATGTTAAATTATTACTATTAAAGTCTAATGGAAAGTTAATGGAA